CACGTATCTGTGGAGTGTACAAAGCTCGGAAGGTGCATGGCCTATATCGCATGCCGAATTGGTCTGGCTGCTTCAGCAATGAGGTCTTTTCAGAACCTTTGGCGTCAACAGAGGACTCGGCACAAAATTCGGTTCTACTCCTCCTGTGTGTTGCCACTCCTTCTGTATGGTTCCGAGACCTGGACTCTTCAATTGCAAGATGCCAAAAGGCTACAGTCATTTCATATGCGCTGCCAGCTTCAAATAAATCATGCATGTTCGTTGGTCCGACCTCATAACAAATGCGGCCATCAACCTACGCACTGGTCTGCCAACAATCACAGACATAATTGCTTGTTGGCACACGTCTTTGTTCGAACATGTGGCCCGGCTTGCAAGTCATACTCCTGCTTATGGTACCCTAGCCTGTGCCGTTGCCCGACGCTCTGAGAGATATGCTCCCACCAGCTGGAGCAGACCACCTGGTTGCCCTCAGCAAACATGGGTTCAAAAGATTGGGGATGGCTCCATCTCATCCCTCCTCCATGAATGGAACCTTGCCACCGGCCGCGGTCACTCACTTCGCATGATGAGATCGCCGCTATGAGCCACTGCTGCTCAGGTGACTTGATGGATGGAAACTAGTGGAAAGAAAACATCCAAAAGAGTTCGATTTATTACAATATGTATTAGGTTCCGTAGACTTGAGTTACATTACATATACAGGGCTCGCAAAATCGCTAGCCCGACGTCCCGGGGCTATTGTGTTTTCCAGTCGGGCTACCAAAAAAAAGTTTCACCACCCTGCCCGACGGGCTATCTTGAACAGTGATATAAAATTCCTTCCTTGATTTCCATTGTTCACTAGCTTGTAGGGGTAAAACGGATCGTAGTTGATCGTTTGCATGTGTTTCTAAGTCTTGCCGATTTAAACATTCAAGTGTTTTAAACCATTCACGCACATTCGGAGCTGCGCACACTCATTCAAAGCGTGCACAGAGAGCCGCTTTTCAGACAATGCGCGTACACAGAATTGATTCCTCTTTCGCATATCCTTGCTTCTGAATGAACACATACACACAAAATTATCTCTGCAAGTATTCTCGTAAACACATTCAGTTATGTCTTAAGTGAACGTAAACAGTGGAGAAAGAAATCTCAAGTGCATCATTATATTGGATCCGTGCATTCGGTCTTAAAGGGGCAGCAGCCTATAAATACCTGCTGTTCCATAAGCGCCACCTGCTGTCAGAGAGTGACATTTGCGTCTCATTCACAAAGCTAAAATCAAACCATTCTGTTTTTGCTATCTAACAGAATGCAATATTTGCAATCTAAATAACATGTATTTAGCATCTTTGTTTGGATCGTGATTAAAATGCAGTGGTTGCCTCTTATTTTCAATGGAAAAAGCACAGGCAAAGCATTCGTTTGTTTATGTGAAGAGATTTATTTTATTTGTATTATTAAATTATTTGATTTGGGATTTGTTTTAAAATTTCAAGTTAGTTTTATTATTTGGCCTATTTCAATTTCACAAAGAAATGTGCAGAAATAATAAAAGGACACCTTTTCATTTATAATTTGTCCTAAATCTCATTTTGTTAAAAATGAAAAATTGTGAGAAAATTGTATTGTGAAATCAGTATCGTGGATCGTATCGCATCGCATCGTGAGTTGAGTGAATCGTTACATCCCTATATGCTACTAGTTTTTGCTGTGGTATCAAAGAAGTATTCTGTTATTTAAATAATAAAGAACCATATATTTTTTGCTCATCTGCAAAATGACCCGATCTGTTACTCAAAATCTGATATAATGCAATATGGTCCGAGCCGTGGGTTTTGTGATCCGTTGCACCCCTACTCTCTTGACTTATTTAAAATAAAAAAGCAATCACTGAAGTTTTTAATCATGCTGATTTGTCCGCAGTGAAGCTCAGCCGATGTCTTTTTTTTTTTTTTTTCTCGGGCTACTTAAATTCATTTTGGGTTACCAAAATCTGAAGAATGTTTGCCCGAAGGGCTACCAGCGATTTTGAAATTTTGCGATCCCTGATTTATTTAACATCCATTTTCTCAAAATTAGTTTTAAGAGTTTTAGGTTTTCAAAGAGGGTTTTTTAATATATCATTCACCTAATATATATTTTACATTTTATTCCTAAAAACATGGTGTAGATGTTTTTTTCTTTTTCATCTGTTCTGTCTTTCTTAAACTTTTTGGGTTATGTTACACAGTATTACCATGGTATTCATTAGAGAGCTGTCAATATTGACTTTATATGAATAATAGCTTCAACATTCCACTAAATAGCTACTTTTGTGTTCCTTGGAAGACAATCAGACAGGTTTGGAATGATATGAGAGAGTAAATGACAGAATTTAATTGTGAACTTACTTTTATAAAACCTGGAACTCCTATCTGTAAAACACAAAACAACAGTTTTACAAAATCAAGCCTTAAACACATGAATACTTGAATACACTGATCTTCCCTCTGTAGTCTTCCTATTGTTTTGCTTTCCTCACACACTCCCAGTAATTATTTTTGAGGATGTTTTAAGGGTTCTAGCATATGCTGCACTATAGGTTTGGAGAGGTGTAGAGGAAAGAAATGCAGGTTTAGAGAGGAGAGGATGGATTGATGAAGAGGTGGAGGTGACGGATAGACTTGGCCTGGTGATCATGGTCACAGTGCTGTGCTACTTGAGCACGTAGAGGACGAAAACATGAAGCACTCAAGAAGGTGACAGCAATGAATTGTCCTGAAATATAATGCACGCACACTTATCTTTAAGCAGACCAGGAGACAACACAAAACATCTTGTGTCAAACTATTTGCCTTGTAGTGTGTGTGTGTGTGTGTGTGTGTGTGAGTTCCTCAGTAGGTCATTTCATGGTAGTATCTACACTAGAGCGACTGATGTTAAGTTTGCGATGATTTGAGGTTGTATGGGAAAGATGGAGGTTGCTAATCACCTCAGAATGATTATTCAACCATGGATGAATTATCTGTAAGCTCAAAACTCGATTTTAGTCACATTAAAATGGAAGAATAATTGGGATTTTATCTGTCTATCTAATAAAATGATTTCTGGAGGATCATGTGACACTGAAGACTGGAGTAATTGCTGCTGTAAATTCAGCTTTGCCATCCCAGGAATAAATTATATATTTAAATATACTGAAAATTAATAAAATGAATTTACATATTAATATTTCACAATATTACTATTACTGCATTTTTGTAAAAAAAAAATGCAGCCTTTGTGAGCTTAAAAACAATTAAATAATCGTACCGACCCCAAACAGTGTGTGTGTGGACTGTGGAGCATTCAGTTCACAATATTTATAAATTATGTACAAATTTGGAAAATTTGTTCAATCCAATGATAAAACACAGCAAAGGGTACATGCAGTATATCATGATAGTGGTCTGATTTGAACAGTAAACATACTAATAACACTGGGACTGTAATCAGACTCATAGGTGACACAAACTAATGCCTGACCTTTGTCAGCCACACACACACATAGTAACACATATGCCTGCTGGACTGGTCTTATTTACATAACAATCGGTGAACTACAGTAATAATGATATATGCCGATGGCATCAGAGAGTGACCGGTGACCTTTGCCGATGAGGAATTGTAGGCGACCTTTTCCTTGTGCAGCCAGATACACTCATACACACAAACACACACTCCCTCAGTCTGCTTACACAGCCACTCTGCCATATCTCAACTCTGGCTCCATAGCCCCGACACGCACCACTGGCCCCATGAATGTTAATGCCGACGTTGCAGGATGGGGTGCACTCTCTCTCTCTCTCTTGCACAAGGGCAAGCAAGCAGGCATGCAGCATACAAATTCTGCTGGGGCTTAAGAGAGAATCATAGTGCATTTGCCCCTGATGGGGTGATGGTGGGATTCTGGGTAGCATAAGGTTCCTGGGTAAACCTCATCAGCAGAGATGGTTCTCAACTTTCCCTTTGATCCTGAGAATCTCTCCTTACCCCTCTGCTTCTCCATCTTCTGTTTGGATCAGAATGTATGCGTTGTGTGACAGCGGCAGCGTGCTGTAATCCTGAACGCTGGTTGTGCATTTCTAACAGGGATTTCGGATTAAGGATGGGCCTGTTAGCCTGGCCTCAGCCCTGCCCCTCTGGGACATTAGCACCTCAATCTCAGGATCGTGCATGTGTGCTTTTGTCCTCTGTGCATTAAATAGGGCCACAGTTTATCTATTAGGATTTGTGGCCTTTAGTCACAGATGGTTTAAAGGGAGATTGTTGAGTTCCTCATGCCACTTTGATATAGATACTTTTCTCTTGTTTTATACCAGGTTATTTTCCAATTTCAGTTTTGGTGCCATGGAATGCCTAAAACAGCCATAAACATGATGAGAACAAGTTTACAGCTCAAAAAATACACAAGTTTTAACAGTAGAATTAATGCAACACGTATAAGCTTAACATTTCAATTCTTAATTGGCTCTATTTACGTATAATTATTTTATTAAAAAAATACATATAAAAATAAATAAAAAAATACAGTAAAAACAGTAATAATGTGAAATATTTTTACAATGCTCTATTTTAATGAATTTTAAAATATAATTTATTCTATCGTTGGCCAAGCTGAATTTTCAGTAACCATTACTCCCGTCTTCAGTCACATGATCCTTCTGATATGCTGATTTAGTACTCAGGATATTTATTCTTACAATCAATGTTGAAAGCAGTTGTGCTGCTCAATATTTTTGTGGAAACCGTGATGCTTTTTTTCAGGATTCCTTGATTAATAGAAAGTTCAAAGTAAAGAATAGTGTACTGTGATACTAGGTGTATGGTATTTACATATGATCATGTCTTAAGACACTATTACCATAATGCCGTGTCCAAAAGTGGTACTTTTTTAAAATGACATTATTTGGCCAGTGACAAAATCTGTTGCTTTTAGCAGAACAGTAAAAATACTGTATGTGTTCAACCTATTGTGTTCTGATTATTTTCAGGTCTGAACTGCTTCGTTCCCTGTTTGCGAATGATCCAGTAATGGCACACTGACTGAAACATCGGCCTTAACATGCTTAAACTCCAGTGTATGTGCTGCATTGTTCTCACACACTTCTGCAGTTGAAATCCTTCAGGGAACCCAGACTTAAACCTAGGTTTTTGAGATTACCTGTAAATGAAACTGAACTTTTGATTTGTAAAAATGACACATTTTAGTGCCTGTTTGTATTAAAATACCATTTTGTCAACAAAGACAGTGTTTTCATTGATGCTTTAATTTTACATTTAGTACATGATCACATGTAGTGAAACTAATATGCACCTTTATTTTATCCTCTCTGGAAGCATTCTGTAATGTAATCTGATTAGAGTTATCAGAAACCACCTTCAATTATCCACTATTGTGGCTTCCATAATTTTAATTGAGTATTGAATTGGCATGATTCAATTTGGTCTATGTCGTACTTGGTAGGTAATATAAGAATAGACTGTGAAACCCACATCGAGGGGACTGAATAAGAGAATGATTAAATAAATGAAATCTGAATTGATAAATCAATGGAAGTGTGTTCCCGGATCCTTGTGTCTGCCATTTGATTTCTCTCAGGACTGAAGAATAGCATGAAGACAAGCACTGATTATCAGGATTTCATCTCGGGCTACTCTCATTTGCACACGTTTAATGTGTATTTTTCCCATCCTCTCTGATCCTTAGAATTGAAGGTGCTGTTTTTGTTACTGTATACTGTATTTATGACATCTATACATACACGCATATTTCAGAGAGGAGGGGAGTCTCACATTCACCACTGGGGTACCTCAGGGCTCAGTGCTTGGCCCTTTTTAATAGCATATTATAAAAAAAATCCTGTATTCTATGATATGACCTGGTACATTTATTCAAGGAAGAGCCACAAAAAGTACAAATAATTTAACGTCAGAATTTTAGTTTATTCAGTTATTTTTTAGAGGCAATCACAGCTTGCCACAGTAAACAGGAAATCCTCCATTTTGACAATGGAGACAGCTTCTGATCTCTTCAGTAACATGTTTAGCAACACTTATAGACACATGAGACAGTCCACCAACTGTTTGGGTGACAGCATGTCACAATTTTCACCTTTCATAGAATCAAATATTAGTGCTAGCATTAGAGTGGCAGCTTGTTTTCCAGTAGTGGAGACAACCATCATGATGCCAATGAGACATTGTGGATCTAAAAAAGAATCACGACTGCCAGTGTAGATTGTGCATAATACTCCATTCACTTTGCTTAAGTATCCTCTGCCACCTCCAATGCTTTCATTTAGTATATTTCTGCACTACACTCTTGTCATTCCAGAATATGTATGTTGTAATAATAATCATGTTCTACAGTTACACATTTACATTACAGTGTACCATGCTGAACTACAGTGTGCAGCACTTAGATCACTTAGACATGTTTAATAAGTTATTGATGTCTTCTCAGCATTTTATCATCTATGCTCAAAAAATTAAACGTCATAAGTACAATACCAGTGGATACACATTTAAAAAAAATATATATATATTTTTTGGTTAAGCCACAAGGGAATGAAACAAGCATAGTCACAATCTGATGCGGTCATACGGCTCAGTCGACCGTCATGCATGTGAAGAATAATACCACGTCTACACAGCGAGTGATGCAACGAAATACAGCCACATCACTCCCGAAGCAGGAGTGATCTAGATGTGACATCGCTTACTCTCAGTGTGGACTCGTGTTATCACCTGACTGTTGTAGGAGAAAGTGTAAAGTTGATTTTTAAGTTGCAAAGTTCTCTCTTATACATTAATCTACTGCCTTTTAAACAAACAAAAAAAAAAAAATTCTAAAAAAGTGTAACATCCTCTAACAGCAGCTATGGGAAGCTAGTTTCTACAATTGGTCTCTGTTCAATCTAAGTCTCAAAGTGCACATGACTAGATTGCAAAACTATAAACACAACACTAGAACGTTTTACTTTAGTGTTTCTAAAGGTGCGCATTGATGTGCATTCATAGGTACTGACACTGAGTATCTCTGTTATAGCATACTTTCAGAATCATAGCCAACAATGCTGTCACATAACATCACGGCACCGCCATGTTGGCTCCTCTAGTTCCAGTTTCCAGTAACATCATGCCTCTGAGATGATTGTGTGTAAACAGGGCTCTATGATGACGCAGGGGCATCCATGGTGGACAGGATTCGGACCACCTCAGCACGCTGCGTGGGGGAAATGTGCTGGGTCATGTGAACAATAGAGTCCATGGCCACTTCAGGGTTAGCTTGAACCAGGCTAAGAAATGAAAACAAACAAACAGTTTATTAAAAACACAAAATATACGTTTATGAATAAACGGGTGTAAAAATGCATTGCAACGCATTGATCTGATATTGAAAATTCAATGCAGTTATTTAATAATCAGTAAAAATGTCAATTTCTTATACAAAACAATTATTTTTGCATTGATTAAAAATACATCAGATCTCACAGATCCTTAATATTTTATTAGCTCTTTAAACGCAAAGCTGCCGCAAAGAAAAACAGTTCCTATCAAACAGCTTTGAGCCTAGATGAAGTTCAGACAAGTCAGACATTTAAGGCATAATGCACAGTCGCATCACTAATCAGAATCGAGTATTTCAGGCAGCTGTGTAATAATTTGCGATAATGAAAGCTGACTGTACATTATCCCTTAGATTAGTGGAAATGATTAAAAAGAGTGGGAACTCTAAAAGAACATTAAGCTTATAAAACCTGAATTTTAATTTACAGAAATTATGAGTGTCAGACCTTTGAATATTGTTGTGGACAATGGAGGGACTTATTGTCAAAAAGGTTGAGAACCTCATGGTTTATCACACACACACACACACACACACTCTAGTGCTGTCAATCGAAAAAAAAAAAAAAATTCTGTATTTCATCGTTAATAATCGCATATTAATATAACATTGAAATTGTCATAATTTCACACTGAATCTACAAAATGTAGAAACAACAAAGATGGTATATTTTAAATACGTATTTAATGGCATCTTTTTACTAAGTATCCTATTATTAATGAATTGATACCAATACTGCTACTGATATCTCTATTAAATGCATTTTTCCCTCAATTTTAGCCATTGATTATAGCCATTTTACATTACAGTATAATTTACAGCCATTTTTTTTTTTACATTTGATAGGCATTGAAAAATACAACTTTTAATTTAAATGAACTTAAAACAATCTTCACATAAACTGTTAATCGTATATGCATAAACTATAAATTGAATATAGATTCATCTTTATTCAATCTATAAAAGTTATTTAGCAAGCAGAGCAGTGATTGATTTTTTTATTTGTTCCTTGATTTACATCAATGACAGACTGTAGCAGGTTTCACTTTAAAAGCAGTGCTGTCTCTTTAAAACCTGATGCACATGACGTGCATCTGACGCGCATCCAATTTTCTCTCATTTAAGACTTTGAATATGAGGTGACTCGCCAAAAACAGGCATTTTGACATCATTTTGTGTTTTTGGCTTTCTGTGCACGCATATCGGATACCTGTGTCCAATTAAGTTCTCGTCGTAGCTTGTTTGGTAGCATGTTTATATAGTCTACTGCAAAGGCCCGTTCACACCAAGGACGATAACGATAAAGATATAGTTCTAAAAATTGTTCTCAATATTAAAGAATAGCAGAGTCCACACCACAACTATAACTATAACGATAAAGGCACAGAGAAACGATATCGTTGGAATCACTTTCAGAACGATTTTTTCCAGCTGATGAATGATACATTGACAGCCAATCAGAATCCATCCTGCTATAACGAGCTCGAGAATTTAAAGCGGCAGACGTGCGTGCGCTTGGAATAAACAGACAATATCGTTCTTGGTGTGTACGGGGCTTAACGCTAGCCAAAGGATGCCAGGAAAAAAAATGGCTGCTGCGTTAATTGCGTTTATAAAACATGTTAAGATGAAAAAAGTTAATCCCACAACTAACATGTTAATTTTGACAGCCATAATATTAGGGATACCACTTTTTCCAGTACTCGCCCGATACCGATACTTTTATTTTTGGTACTTGCCGATACCGAGTATTTTTACCAATTTTATACCAATATTTTTATTGCATTTGTAAATTTTTTAAATATTGGGTACGGAAACCAAAAGAGTATGTATAATGTTAGTTGGTTAACTTCATTTATCAAATAGATACAGTCAAACCAAAATGTATTCAGACACCTTCAACATTTCTCACATTATCACAGTTTATTCGCTATAGTTTAGAAAATGGTAATAAAATATGACAAGAACTCAGAGTTAAACAGAGTCAGAACAAATTCAGCTTGATAATGTTAGATAACTTTGATAGAAAGGTATGTAATAGATTACAATCAACCAAAAATTAGACAGCTGTTAGTATGACAGTATTTACACAACTATCAATACTTATTCGGGCAACCTTTAGCCTTAATGACAGCCTGTAGTCTCCTGGGCAT